TCAAAACTAATCACATAATTAGACTCGGGGGTGAATGGGTAATTAGGTTTTGGTCCGAATCTCGAGTTTTGATTAAGCGAGCCTAAGGTTGACTTTTTTCAAAATCATTAAAGATTAAATCTTTTTCACTCGTGGGTAGTTTCTAAAGCTTATTTTGAATTGTTTGAACTATATAGTTTCTAAATCTTTTTGTCCTCTATGGATTTGATTTTGTCGGGGTTGATCTCGATTCCCCGATTGGATACCATGAACCCGAGGAATTTTCATATTATATTTCTGCAGTATGTCGAAGGTCTCATACAAATGTCTCAAATAGTCCTCTACTCACAAGGACTTGACTAACATGTCGTCAATATAAACTTCCATTGATTTTCCTATCTGTCCTTCGAACATACGGTTTACTAGGCGTTGATAGGTGGCTTCGGCATTCTTTAATCCAAACGGCATTACATTATAACAGTAAGTGCCAAATTTAGTGATGAAAAGAGTCTTTTCTTGATCTTCCGAGTCTCATCCGAATTTGGTTATACTTGGAATAGGCATCGAGAAAACTGAGTATCTCGTGCCCGGCCGCCGCTTCGATCATCCGATCGATGTTAGGCAACGGGAAAGAATCTTTAGGGCATGCCTTGTTTAGATCTTTTTAATCTACACACATTCTTAGCTTATTCCCTTATTTAGGTACTACCACTACGTTAGCTAACCAGTCGGTGTATTTAACCACCCGGATGTACCCTATTTTAAGGAGTTTGGATACCTCGTCCTTGATGAACGCATGCTTGACCTCAGACTGTGGCCTCCTCTTCTGTTTAACCAGATGGAACTTCGGGTCTAAACTCATCTTATGAATGGTCACCTCCGGTGGGATCCTTATCATGTCAAGATGGGACCAAGCAAAATAACCTATGTTAGCTTTAAGAAAATCAATGAGTTTATTCCTGAGTTCAGGAATTAACCCAGTGCCCAGGTATATCTTTCGATCTGGTAGGTGTTCGATTAGTAGGACTTTCTCCAACTCCTCGACCATTGATTTAGTGGCATCGGTGTCATCTGGAGCTATGAACAATCTCGGGACTCCGTAATCTTCCTCCTCATCTATCCCCCGTTTCTCCGGTTCGACCGAGACCGACATCAGTGATTGCTATTTAGTTTCTTCCTTGGCCGACTTCGCGTTCCTTGACGTAAAAACTGCGGGCACCAGGATTACCTCGCCGATCAAAAACATCTCCTTTGCAGCCGGGTGCTCTCCATTGACCGTCTTGATTCCTCCCGGTGTAGGGAATTTAAACGCATGGTGTAAGGTCGAGGGTACCGCCCTCATGTTGTGAACCCATGGCCTTCCAAATAGAGCATTATACCTCATGTCCCCTTCGATAACGTAGAACTTTATCTCTTAAATCGTCCCGACGGTGTTCACCGGCAACGTCATCTCTCCTTTAGTGGTTTCACATGCCATGTTAAATCCGTTCAACACCTCGACTGCCGACACTATTTGGTTCTGTAACCCCAACTCCTTTACGACCCTTGATTTAATGATGTTGGCCAAGCTACCTGGATCAATCAACACATATTTAATTTGAGATTTATTGACAAGAAAGGATATTGCAACATCATTGTGAGGTTATACGAAGCCCTTGGCATCCTCATCGCTGAACGAAATGATTCCCTCCGGGACATAATCTCGGGTGCATTTTTTCCTTCTGATAGATACTTTAGTGCGCTTTATCATTGGCCCTTAGGGGACATCGACCCCTCCAATGATCATGTTGATGACATGCTAAGGCTCCTTTTGTTCGGTCTGTTTATTGGCGTCCCTATTCCTGAAGTGGTTTTTGGCTCGATCACTCGAAAATTCTCGGAGTTGCCTATTATTGAATAACCAGGCAACTTCTTCTCTCAATTGTCGGCAATCCTCGGTCCTGTGGACATGAGTGCCATGATTCTTACACATCAAGTTAGGATCTCTTTAGGTAGGGTCGGACTGTAATGGCTGAGGCCACTTGGTTTTCTTGATGCACCCGATGGCCGATAAGATGCTGGCAGTGTCAACGTTGAAGTTATAATCTGATAATCTTGGCGCTTCCCTACCCCGAGCGACCTGTCGAAACCATTTTTGCTCATCAGACCTCAGCTACTGGGCCCTCAATTGCTTCTCTTTTCGTTCCTTGTAGGGTGATGCCCGGACTCATTTCCCCTTCGGTCCACACTGTATAGTTGGTACCGATCCCGGACCGACCTTGGCTCATGATCGACGACTCTCTTAGATCTGTTGTCGGCCCTAATAGGATAAATAAATCCAAAATGGGCTCCGAGGTGGTCGTCCTGGACTCTGATCTTTGACTGGTACCTATTATGGACGTCGGCCCAAGTTACCGCCGGGTACTCTACCAAATTTTGTTTTAGCAGTTGTGAAGCCAAGGAGCTTTGGGGGTTAAGTCCATGAGTGAATGCCTGAACGACCCAATCATTTGCAATCGGAGGCAGGTCCATCCGTTCCATCTGAAACCTTGACACGAACTCCCTGAGCATCTCGTTATCTCTTTGTTTAACCTTGAAAATGTCCGATTTTTTGGTCTCGACCTTGATGGCCCCGACATGGGCCTTCACAAAAGCATCTGCAAACATAGAAAACGAGTCAATGAAATTTTGGGGTAAGTTGTGATACCATATTATTGCTCCTTTTGACAAAGTCTCCCTGAATTTCTTCAGTAACACCGACTCGATTTCATCATCTTCCAAGTCGTTCCCTTTGATGGCGCATGTATAGGAGGTCACAACCTCAGTTGGATTCGTGGTTCCGTTATATTTTGGAATATCGGGCACACGAAACCTCTTCGGGATCAGCTTTGGTGTCGTGCTCTGAGAGAAAAGGCTTTTGGATAAATTTCTTGGAATTCGGCTCTTTCAATATCGGGGGTGCTCTCGTGATTTGATCGACCCTGGAATTTTCCACCTTCTTGTCATTTGCCTTAATTCTTTTCTCACCTGATTCCACCCACTTCGTTAATGCTTCAAGCATTTTCATTATCTCGGGGTTGACCCCATGCTCGGCTTCACCCGGTCTCTCGGTGGTTTGTTCGTTTCTTCGGGTGCTTTCCCAGGATTGTTCGAGCTCGACCCTGCTAGGGGCGTGGCCTTGATTCTATAGTTGTGCTATCGCCGCCTGCTGAGCCTGCAATATTTCAAAATTAGTCGCGGGCTTACCCCATTACCTTCGCCTTCAGGTGCTTCTCGAGTTGTTGGTCAGGGTCCTCCGCAAATGCTATTTTCGATATCAGTTGGCAGATTAACGTCGATATCCACCTGTGAGTTGACATCGACCGGATCGGCAACTGGGACTCCATTGGCATCCGTTTGGGGCACCTTATTGCTAAGTACCAGATTATTGTTTTCGCCATAATGGTCAAACTCAACGTCAATGTTCAAGTGGGCAGACTGAGAATTTGACATTTTTAAGCTGACATGAAATTAAGACTTTAAAGAACAAGCGTAAAATAAAATGTGTTATGGAGATTTGTATCAAACCACCACTATTATCCTTAGCCCAACAGTGGGCGTCAAACTGTTTACCTTAAAACGGATAACAATTAAATTTGTACGCGGTTTTAAAGATATGTAGATTGATTCAATATAAATACTCAAGAATATTAGATAAATGAGTTAAAGATAAAATGAATAATCAAATCAAATGTAATGTTACGGCCCAGCTCGAACTTAGATTGAACAATGGTTTTGCCCTCGATCAGACCCTTAGCTCGAAGCCAATTATGAATGAAGAGCAAACAATGAAGTAAGAACTTTACAATAGCTAGAAAATAGAAAAATAAATTTATATTGCCTTGGTTTGCGTGTTACAATGTGCCCTCAAAGAATGAAAAACCTCCCCTTTATATAGGAGAGTTTCATCCCTAGTACAAGTCTAAAAAAGGTAAAAATCTTCCTTTTCTCATTAATTACTGATCTGTAACCGCTATCGAGCGAGATCCGTGCCGTGATATCCGGTTGGTTACGGATATCATGACCCTCTATCCGTCGCCTACAACTGTTCATTATGCTTTCCGAAGTTTCAGGACTCGTCCCGAGTCCGGGGTGGTACGTCGTTTTATCAGGTATGATGGCGAGCACTTCGTTAACTTTTCACGGGCCCCGATACAGAGAGTTCATAGCTTCGATTTCAATCTCTTATGTTCATGCCCTCACTTCATTTTATTCACCGAGAAATCGGGGTGTACGTTATATCCCTGATATCACCCGTATACGGATTGGATTTTTGATGTGTCACATGCTAGTCGAATTTGAGGGTCAATAATACTACTACTCATTATGAAATTTTGTACAAGAGCTTCCCATGCTTTAAAGTGATATTGTTTAATGAGTCAAATATGCACATTTTTCCCTTCAAAAAGAAAATCAAAAACAAAAAGAAACTTTTAAACCATAAGTTTAACGTATATAAACTTCTATACAAATATTTAAGAATAGAAAATCTATCAAAATGCTTTTATCTTGATCCTCAATGCATCTTATTGACTATGCATAGGCGCGGAGCTAGAATTTAAAACTAATGAGTTTAAGATTTTAATTCTTTTAAGTTATTAGGTTTTTGAATTAATAATTTGTATATATTACATTGATTTTTTAAGACAATATAAAATTTTGACTAAAATTACTAGATTAGTCTGAATCCATACTTTGATGTCTAGCTCTGTCACTGCCTTGATATATATGAATTGTTTGTTTTCATACTCGTCATATTTTAATACACGTCTATTTCAGTTTATGTGAATTTATTTAACTGAGCATAGAGCTTTAAAAAAAGAAAAGAGTTCGAAATTTATGATATAAAATGAGGCACATATATTTTATGTGGTTATAAATCATTGTATAAAGATAAATTATTTCCGAAAATGAGTCACTCTTTTATGCACGAACTAAAAAAAATTAGCTTCAGATAAATTTAACCGTGAATATAAATTAAGATTTCGTCCTAGAAGAGCTGTTCCCACTGTAAATCAAATATCTTGTCAAATTTTCCGGTATATTTGCGAATTTTTACAGACACTATTTTGTATAAAAACGGCACCACCATGTTGCAGAGCAGAAAACCTGTAAAAACCTCATCATTTCGAAACTTTAAGTTTCTTTTTCATTTCAATGGCTTCGTTTTTTACTCTAACAGTCCTCTCCATACTTCTCTTCTTTTCAATCTCCTCCGTCGGTGCTCGTCACCACCAGCGGAATTCGCCGGAGTCATCTACGACGCCGTCAATTGCGGCTAAAATCCGAGGAGCTTGCAAGGCTTCTCGGGACCCACTAACATGCGAGTCCGTTTTAATGGACTCCAGCCACTTGCCGTCTGAGCTGACGACGCCGTTAATCATTCAATCCGCCGTTAAAGTCGTTTCACAAAACAACGCCGAGGCGATAGACATGGTGAATGCAATCATGGACGCGTCCGCAGGGAATCAGAACCTTACGGACTTAGTGAGGATCGGTATTGAGGTTCTCGGGTACTCGGATAATCGGGTCGGGCAAACGGCTCAGGCATTGACACGTGGCAAGATAAAGGACGCACGTGCATGGATGAGCGCCGTGATGATTTACCAGTACGACTGCTGGTCCGTTGCAAAACGCGTTAACGAAACCTTACAGGTGGACAAAACCATCTCGTTTTTGAACTCCTTGATCGGGTACAGCAGCAACGCATTGGGTATGCTGGTGAACTACGACATTTACGGGGCCGATACCGGGTCATGGGCCCCGCCCAAAACAGAACGAGACGGGTTTTGGGAAGGTTCGGGTTTAGACGGGTCGGGTCATGATGTAAAGGGTGGGGTGCCTTTCGGGTTGAAACCGGATGTAACAGTGTGCAAGGAAGGAGGCTGTGACTATAAGACAGTGCAGGAGGCGGTGAATGCTGCACCAAATAATGGGCTGACCCGGAAGTTTGTGATATGGATCAAATCCGGGTTGTATGATGAGATAGTTCGGGTCCCGTTTGAGAAGAAGAATGTGGTATTTTTGGGTGATGGCATGGGCAAAACAGTCATTACAGGTTCCTTGAGTGTTGGTATTAATGGGATCAACACTTATGAGACTGCAACTGTCGGTAAGTGATTTATTGGATCAGTTTAATAATTACAAATCTTTATATGTTTTAATAACAAAATTCTTTCTCTCTATTTTGGACTGTACAAAAGTTGATTTTTTTAACATCTCTTTGGAAACAAGCCAAGTAACGGTTGGACAGAATTGCTCCTATAGTAGCTAGACTTCTTTTTGTGTGTGTTATTTTGTAAAATGAGCGTAAATTTCTGCATAAATAGAAATATTTTTTTTTTTAAAACGATGACTCTTGCTGCTTGGCCACTGAATGAATGCATCTCCAAGCGCCAATGATGTTCACGAGTTGTTTAGGCTAATTTTTCTTTCGCGCTTAGTTTTCTTACTTCTCCATTGCCCCTATGTATGGCCTTGTTCCAAGCAGCAAGGCGGATGTAGCCTTTGTGGTACGGGTTCACATGAACTGTTATGTTACGCGGCGCCTTCTTGAAATTCCTTGGAAGGGCGACGTAAGGCTAAGCAACCGATGTCAGTACGGTTGCTGTCCGCC